TAGTATTCAGAGTAGATCCTCATGAGTGAAGAGTGTGTATGCATCGTAGGAGGAAGGGACTGAGGCAGAGAGCGTTCATTCAAGGTTTGGCTATGCAAGATACTTACCTGAGTTGGATGTGAAGTGCAGAGGTGGCGCTGATGAGTAGTGACCACGTTGATGACTTGGAGACAATCTGCAGGAGTAGCGCTGATGTATTGGAAGTCATATTGATGAGTTGATGTTGGGTTGACATTGCGCTGATGAGCGCTGGACTCAGGGAACTATGAAACTCTTTGTAATCATATTTTTGATAATATAAGCTGTGAAACTCGGTTCTCTTCTCATCTACCTTTGTCTATTGTGTGAGACTCTTGATCGTTGTGTGCAAGGACGATGCATGACATGTACACACTTGCGTGAGTTGGTCTCCAGGACCCATGCAAATTTGGTATCGGAGCAGATGCTCGCTGCACTCATAGCGCTGGCATGATCAAGGCTGGCGAGAAGATGTGGTGATGGAGGAGTAGTGAAGGAGGGAGGAGTAGAAGAAGTGTTGATAGTGGGGGAAGCAGGCCGAAGAAGAAGAGGTGAGAGTTACTTACCTGGAGCGTGCGGAGCGTCGTGGAGCATCATCGGTGGTATCTTCAGGAAGAGAGAAGCACCTCCTTTCCCTGAACCTGCATGCATGTGTGTGTCCCCTACCTTCTCTCTCTCTGACCCTCTGAAGGTGACTGCTGCTGATCTGGTCTGAAGTCGAAGTCTGGATCTGGATCATCCTAGAGTCTGGTGGTCCAAGTGCGATGTGTCAGGGCCTGGTCACACTAGATTAGGTGGTCCAGTGTTCTGCGAGTAGGAGTAGACATCTCTCCTACCCCTCTCGATAGGCAGGCGGGGTATCGTCATCAGGGACTAAGGATCGATGTGGGAAGTGGCTATCTGCCACGTCAGATTGCAAGTACTAAGAAGCCCAAGCACGATGAGGAGTATCTACAGGGTCAGCTAAGCCCGAAAGAAAGAAAAACGGAATGAAGTATTTCTGCCTGGTTGGATAAGCGAACCATCTGCATCTGACCTTCTGCGTTGTACTCCATACCTGCATCAGACAACCAGCCAATTAGTATTAAAAAAAAATAATAATAATATATCAAGGGAAACATGACATCAGAAACACATTGCCAAAGGTTTAATCCAGGGAGCCAAATAGCATATCAAAAAAAAAAAAAGAGTATATCTATCCAAACAGTAAGCTTGTTTTAGTTTGATTTGTTGTTTATTCTACGCAGCACCATCTACAATAAAAAAAAAAAAGTACAGTACATTCACCGCGGACCAAGAACTGAGACCGTAAGTGGGATAGTACTGTGGTGATCCGGCGGAGGGTCCCCTGTGCCGGTCGTCATCATGGATGACTATCCCATCCAGGGCCTGTTGGCCCTTTCTGTCTTGTTGGGGCCGCTGTTCCGGCTCATGTTCCCATTGGGGTTCGAACGTGTATGTACGTCTCGCATGTTGATGCGGTGAGGGAGAGTGAAGCCTGGCCCCACACCTGCGGAACAAGCAGAGATTGACCGCAGGTTGGCAGAAAAGAAAAAAGAAAAGGAAGCTAAGAAAAAACAAAAAGAAGAAGAAGCCAAGAGGAAGATGAAAGAGAAGATGGATAAAGAATTAGAAGAAGAGTTGAAGAGTATACGAGAAGAAGAAGAAGAAGAAGAAGAAGAAGAAGAAGAAGAAGAAGAAGAACAGGAAGAAGGAGAAGTTTTGGAAAGACGTCGTCGCCTGGACGTACCTTAGAGTAGCGCTACTGCAGCGGCCAGACTTCCAGTTGAACCACTGGATTGGGTTGGTCAGTACTATTACTCCAGCGAGCCGCTAAGGGAAACTGAAGAAGAAAAAAATACGTTCATCGCAAAGTTGCCCCGTGTGACAGCCCCAGTCAAACGAAATCTGCTAATGGAGGAAAAGAGGGCTGAGTTGAACAATAGAATGCTAGCAGCCAGGAGGCAGGAAGTGGAAGAAAAAAAAAGGTTGCAGGTAGAAGGGGAAAAACTGCAGAAGGCTTTAAAAGCTCAAAAGGATAAACCCTCTGCGACCGAAGAACAACTTGCTCTCCTCAGAGAAACAATCCTCAACACGAGGCAGGACATGGCTTTAATGCGGCAGACCATACAAAGAGTGGAAACACATCGGGTTGAGTTCGAAAATGTTTGGAACAACTTCTTGGAAAAGTCAGCCAAGGATGTTGACCAGCATGTACGAACATACATTCGGGCGTTGGACGAACATGTTACTAAGACATTCACCCCGGAGGTCATAGAGAAGATTGTAATGGGAGCTGGAGGTGGAGGAGGAGAT